TCCGGTGGTTGTTGTAAGTAGACGAGTGTAGCAGCAGCAGCAGCAGTGGTGTTTTATGGCATTCGTCTGGTGGCTGGTGTTAACTAAAGCACCATGTTGTGTGTTTATGTGTCCGTGCAACTGCAAATTTGGCAACTGTGAGTGAGAAATCTGTGTGTGTGTGTGTCTTCACGCTCGTCCACATTGACACGCTGGTTGATAGTGGTTCGGCTTGTGTGTATATTGGGTCATGTTGTTATGTGTGTGTGTCTCTGTCGGCGCGTCTTATCTTTCCAGTGGAAAACTGACGTGTCACATTAGTTATCCTTGATCCTGTTGGAGGGGTTGAGATAGTAGCAGGTGATGTCTTTTAAAAAACCTACCAAACCACAGCGCACATGTCCAAGTCACTCTGAGTCGATTACTCATCCCACTGGCATGTACACGTGCACACAAAGGAATCCCTTTTTTCTTGTAATATAAAAGTGATGTTGGGCCAGGAGTTTTAGCTCGTCAGCTCTGCGGTTTTCTTGAGTGTTCCTCTCTGTACTAGTTAGTTGAAGAAAAATATAATTATGATATGAAAGTTGGTTTTCAAAAACATCGAGTATCTGAAACCACAAATGAACAGACAAAGAAAGAAGATAAATAATTGAATTGAATTTATTATTCACCACAGAACCGTTCATTCGCTGCTTTAGGGCAGAGGTGCCCATCAATTCTGTTTACATTTGGTACGTCATATTTTTTTTAAAAACGTTCCGTCCTTCTTTGTCTCATAAGCATTGGAGGCCAAGAAAGAATTCAAAGATCACACTTTCTGTGCGATCTCTGTTGCTGTTCACTGTGACCAAAGCAATAGTTTCCTTGCCTACAATGTTTTGTTTTCCTAACTATTTTCTTTCAGTGTGTAATTGTATGAAGGTTTGACTTACTGTGAAAATTTGAGTTACGTCACCACTAGGAACTGAACCGTGACATAAGTCAAGGACCCTCTGTTTCACTCTATTTTTAGATGCTAATCACCAAGGCTAAATTAGGGACCGTATAGGTATTGAGTCATTATCATATTGCTATATACAACTGCTGAGTAGTCCAACATATAATGTATATAAAAAGATATATTCAGTTCTATATATATATTTAAGGTCAATATAGCGAGATTATTTTAGCATGATTATTTTAAAATTAGCTTCTAAACCACAGATTATTTTAAAATATTACAATTCAGGCTGAAGCAATAAACATTACAGCCAAATTCGGTGTGACTAACTTTAAATAAAAACTTTAAATAAAACCTTACTCCACCCTGCTGTCACGAGCTGTCACAGACATCTTACATCTCTGTCCAGCTGTGTAAAGCCGCAGAGGTATCTGTGTAGTTATCATTCCCGAGGCCTCCTGTGAGTTTGGACTCACAGTCATATGATCTTTAGAAACATTTGCGCACAAGGTGGTCCCTCCCTGAGGAGACAACGTCCATCTGCACAGGTTTCAGGAGTTGGGGTGTTCTCTAGTCAAAAGACAAAACTGACTCCTGTATTTTTCTCTCATTTTTGCCTTCTTGGATTAGTTTACTATAATTAAGGCCAAGTTGGAATAAAAAAAAACTGCATTCTTCATTACTATTGTGTGAGGGATATCCCAATGGAGATGTTATGGATCCTGATGAAGTCTTCATCATCATTAATTCAAGGTTTATTAGTTTATTCACCAGCAGCAAATTGTTAAATTTCTCCGTCCTCATGGTTTTGTTCAGGAGTGTATGCTAAACAGCGTATATATATATAAATAGTATATAAAAAGTTCAACTCTGGCATCCTAAAAGATCTCACTAATTTTTCCCAGTCCTTTTTCCTATTTTGTCCCCTTGGAAAGGTTCAGTCAGAGTTCCTCCAGCTCCACCGACACTATTTTTAACGAGGCCTGAAAGCTAAGCTCTGGACGGCCACGCACGTACACGCACTCAAACCCACAGATCCTCAGACAGGTGCCAACTTCTGTGCCGAAAAGCATGGCGTGTTGTGTTGTGGTGGGGCGTGTGCATGGGGAGTGACCGGGGGCTGGTGTCGGAGGAATGCATGACCTCGCCGGCCTCTGCCGCCACTGCTGGGCTTTGATCAAACATTCCTCTGGAAGTTTCCTCCTCCTGCTGTCACAGAGCTGCAGGGCGGTGATATGGGCCATGTCTGCTTTGTCTGCTGATGGAAAATTAGAGATAAAAAAGTGCTTTAGCCAGTGGTCAGTCATTAATGCCCTTTTTTAACCTTTTTAAACCGTTTCCAAATTAGCCTGATTTGTTGCAAATGATACATTTGTTGTTTTTCTGGTTAAAACAAGTTTTATTATTAGATCATGAATAAAACTTTAAAAATATTTTAGCTATTTCTCACCACACTGCACCAGGAATTTCTGGGTTTTTAGGAGTCATTTTACAATATCCAAGTGATTCTAATTCACATTGTGAGGTGAGGTTTTCACTGCAGATCTATTGAAGTGATTTCTTTCTAGTTTCATTTGATTTAATTTCCCGAACTGTATCAATTTTTTTTTATTTCAATTCAAGTGACGGGAACCATTTCAAAGTGCTTATACCTGTAGCGTTGTAGTTCCATTACAGTGAAATCCCACGGTTATTATACTAGTTAGTAAAAATAGTCCCATCGTATTCCCAGTGTTAACATTTTCCATCTTCAGGTCAAGCTAGATTTTGATTTTTTTTTTCCGTTGCTTCTGGTTAAAGGCTCACGGCATTTACAACACCGTAATTTCCATAAAAATTATAGATTTCCAGATTTTGCTGGATGTATTCCAAACCAAAGCCGGCCAAAAGTATTGGGTCTCTCCTGTCGATCCGCTGGTCAAAAGGTCCCTAGGTCACTTAGCAAGGTTTTTGGTTTGCTGCCTGAGGTTTTTAAACACAGTCTGTTCTCATACTCCCTGACGGACCTACCGTTTAAACGGGGACCGTTCTGCAGCTCTGCTGCTTCCATCTCGTTCCTGGTTCCGTCGTTGTTCACAGAGTTCTAGATAATTGTCCCTACTTCCCTGGACTAGTTCCTGTGGTGGAGTTGCACAATTAAATCTGATTATAGTTTGTCGGGCGTTTACTGTAAGTTGAATATATTTGAATTTGTACGTCTTGGTCCAACTGTTACTACATGACCTATTCTGTCAGTCCTAAGATGTTGTAATGGAGCTGCTGCTGTGGAGCAGTGGAGATATTTTGGTCTTTATTTGAAAAAAAATGTATGAGCAACGGCAGGGTTTAAATAAATGTATTTGTGGGAAAAAAATCACCCTTCTCTGAAGTCAGATTACGTTATTTAAAGGAACGTTGTTTGGTAAAAAATATTGATGTTTTTTTTCATGTGGTTTAGAGCGGCACGGTAATTTTTTTAATTGCAGACTGATGTGGTTTTGTCAAAAAATGCGTTGATTGAGGAAATTGTTAGTTTTGTGAGAGTTGTGAGCTAGAATGGCCCAAATTGGCGGAGACAGGAATGAGCGGTCCGACGGGATTGTTGTTGATGAGAAAAAAGGCATTTTGTGGGAGCGCTCGGGCGTCTTGGATCAGAACAGGAAGTGTTGTGGCTGTGTCAGGAGAAAGTGCGGCTCTGAGGAAAGGCCTTGTTGTGGGTGTAAAGGCAGACCGGCTTGTGGAAACTGTGTGTGTTGATGTCCATGCATGCGTCAATGCGCGCCTACGTGTCTGGTGTATTATCAAGGTAGAGCTTCTATATAGACATGGCTCACTGTTGTTAACCTTTGAACCAACTTCAGGTTTGAGATGTTTGTCCACAATAACTCCCAACTTCTTGTTGGGGTTTTTTAAAACTGAATTTAAAATATTTCGGCAGCATTTTTCTTAGCTTTTAACCTAACTTTAGACCTCTTCATGTTAACATTTTATCATAGCGTTAAATATTTCTAAATTGTGATGTGGGCTGATTTTTAACATTTAAGCTAGAATTTAGCTTTTTTAAATATTGAAGCTGCTTTAGCAAAATCCAAAAGGAATGAAAATTTTAAAAATTTTGAAGCTTTTGATATTTCCCCAATCCGCTGCTGTATTCTGAGCCTGAAGGAGTGATGTTGAACCACAATGCTGCTGCTGCTTCATGATTTTTCTTTTTTTTCCTCAGACGACAAAAACTTAAAGAGTTATTGTGTTTGGAAAACACTACATACATTTAGACCTTTGGCCAAATCAAACAGTTCTAAATCTTAGCTTCGGAAAAACTCTGAATGATCACGGTCTTACTCTACCACCTGTGTGTGGAGGGGGGGGAAAGTGGCAGTGTGTGAAGTTTCTCTTTGGGGAGACAGAAACAGAGCCTTGGAAATCACTCAGGAGGAGTCAGAGAGCACGTGATTGGCTGAGGAGGCAGAAGGAGGGAGGGAGCTTTGGAGAGCAGTAAGGAGTCTCAAGGACGTCTTACAGAGGAGTTGACAGAAGGGCAGAGGAAAGGCTACAGTCTCCACCGGCTGCAGGAGAGAGAGAGAGAGAGAGAGGGTGAGGGGCTTTGGGAGAGTTTTTCTTTTAGGATCTTAAGAAAGCAAGAGGAGAGAAATCCAAGTGTTTAGGAGGTGGGAGAAAATGTGAAGAAGTGAAAAGGAGCCAAGTTGAGAAGTGGAAGAAGCAGAGGGACAGGGAGAGAGGGAAGACGGTGTCTGAAAGCCGACGTAAGAAAAAGTGTAGGGAGTAAAGGGAGGGAGGGTGAGAAAATTGAACAAGTTCAGCGAAGTCAAGATTGACGGCGTTAATGAAAGGGGAGCGTGAGTGATCAAGTGACAGCCACAGGAAACCAAAGACTGACGTACTGACACTTGGGTTCTCATTGAGAAGGAGCAGCCTATAGTGGTAGGAGCTGCTTCTTTTCGTGGGTGGCTCTCCTTCCTCTCTTCCTACTCTTTTTTTTTTTTCCTCCTCTTCCACCTTCTCTCCTTCCTGCTCTTTTTCCTCCACCTCTCCTTCTTCCCCCACATGCTGGTGTTAGCCTTAACTGCCATCGGGTCACTGGGGCGACACTACATCGCCATGTTCGAGGCAACACAGAACGTCACACTCAAGCCCACGGACTCCTGGAGGGAAGCTCTGCTGGACACCAGAGTCATGGACCTCTTCTTCACGGTGAGTACACCCGTCTGAAGCGTTCACTCTGTTGTGTTTATTTTTTTAACTCCTCTGTATTCAGATTATTACGAGCCAACTTTTAGCTACCTTTAGAGCCCTACTAAAAGTTAGCTTTTGGATATTGTGTTTTTTTTGCTTGGCTTTCTGAATTTATTTATTTTGATCTTAACTAACGTTTGACATGCTCATGCCCAAACTTTAAGTTCTTTATTATTGTTGGGGTTTATTATTTTTGTTTGTTTAGTTTTTTTTTGTGAATTAATTTTTTCTCACCACTACATCGTGTTAGATTGCTTTAATATTAATGTCTATAATTTTTGACACAAGTCAAAAGTTCATTTGTTTGTCACCTTTAAATGCGTTTGGCTTTACAGCAGGATGGCTGTGAGTCCTGCTAGTTAAAGTTGTGTTTGGTTAGTTCTTACTTTAGGACAGAAAGTCGTTGCCCGTTCAACTTTGTAGTGGAATGTGTACATTTTTATTTCCTCTCTGTACCTCCCTCCGTCTTCCAGAGCTTCCAAAAGTTATTTCTGTCTGCTATTAGTTTTTTCGTGTCCTGCTTTACCCCGACGTACCGTTCCGCTTCATTTTTTCCCCCCTGACTGCTCCACGCTGGTTTACTTATGATGTACACAGACACAGTTTTCCTTTTCATGTGGGCTGAAGAACTCCCACTCCAACACCATCTTTTTGTCATATTTCAGGTTTTACTCTCTCTGCTCAGGTGCATTTCTCTGATCCACCATTAAGTAGATTTATGGCAGCGTTGCAGTGGAGTCGTATTTTTGTCGTGGTGTCTATTTTTCTGCTTTAACTCGTGTGTTTAGAGGAATGGACCACACTGGCTGAGCCCAGCGGTCAGCGGTCAGCTCTTCTTCCATTACTTGTCTGCCTTAATGGCCCAACGGCCACATACTGATCCACTGGCGACTGTTGCATTTTACTGTTTCCCCACATCTGTCATGGCTGTTCATTTAGCAGGTGGCTGCTCTAACCAGATGGGATGTTCCTACATGTATCTGCCGTCCTGTTATTTTATGGTTGCATCATTAGCTAGGCTTGTTGCAGTGTATTTTTGGTGTAAATTTTGGTGGCTGCCCCCCCCTTTTTTTTTTTTTACTACTTTTTATTTTTGGCTCTAAACTCGTGAGTAGAAGGAACTACTATGTATTAAAAAGCATTATTGTATTATTGGTTTAATTCAGTCCTATTCCGTGCGTTTCATCACGTCGAGAGGTTACCGACTCAATGAGCTACTGATTTGTTTCATTTCACCTTTTTCTCTAACAAAGAAACCAAACAAAATTCAAGATCTTTCAGCACAAGTGCCGTAAACACCCGTCAGCGCTAATCCCCGTGATCTGTTATTGCAGCGCAAGAAAGTTCAAATTGAAAACATTTAAAAACCCAGGGCTACCCCTCAGTTTGTGTTTCCTTGATCTGTTTGTTTGAAGTTGTCCTGAAGAGTCTCCATCCTGCAGTTACTACGTTCTGCTCCACATATAATCACACGTGTTTGCGGCCAAACTGCGCTCCTGCAGCAGCGTCTGTACCTGTAATTTTTTGTAGGGCTAAACAAAGCACTAACTTGATCATTGGTATTGTACCTGACCGTGGTTGTTTTAATGACGGAGTGAAATGGTTTGTTTCATATTCTGTAAACATTTGGAAAGGGAAGTTGTTAGGAACTAAAAAAAAAACTAAAAAAAACTTTCCAAACGTTTCTAACAGTTGTGAAAAATATTCTGTTATTCTCTTAAATTTTAACAAGCAATTTGTGTAGGTGTAAGAATAAGGTATGATGCTAACTGGAAGTGAAGTGCTAAAAGTTTCATACATAGATTGAAATTAGTTGAATCTGTCCATTTCATTTGCTTCAACTTAAAGTGAAAAATAAAGCAGACAATTTAGCGGCTAAAGCTAACCTGAAATAATCACCAATCTCCACTGTTTGCCTACTTTGTCCTCAGTTGATGCAGCGGTGGAGTTAGTGTCTGTTAGAAAGATGAAACAAACAATTTTCTCTCTGTCAATCTGCAGATGTCTAATTGCAGTTTTCTCTCCCCGTATAATCATTTCTCACTGACTGTCCAAATGTCAGCCTTTCCTCCCGGAGCTGAAAAGAAACGTTTTCTCTCTGATTGTCCTGATTGTCAATCCTCGGAGTCCACGCTCTAATTTGGCTCTAAGCGGCAAGACCTAATCTAAGATTTAATACACAAAGCACACATGGACAAAATTCAGCGACTTGATTGGCCGGTGCCGGCAGACTGGCGAGAATAAAGATGTTTGTCTTTTGTCGGTGCCGTGTCTTTGCTGCAGGAATTTACAGGATGTGTTTTGTGTTGGTTTCAGTTTTCACGGCTCCAGTCTCATCTCACACTCTGGTATTTCTAGTAGCTCAACTGTTTATTGTAAGGCTGCTGGGTCCCTGTCAGCTGTTGACTGTGTGTGTGTGTGTGTGTGTGTGTGTGTGTGCGCAGCCCCTCCCCCAAACACTTGTGATGTAAGTCTTTTATTGTCGCCTTGCATCTTCGTTTTATTGTGTGCATTTGTGTGAAAAGCAATATGGACGCTTGTAAAGTGCCAGTAGAATTTGTAAAATTTAAAAAATTACTTTGAAAAGTTTACAATCATTAGGGGCCATTATCCTCTAAAAAAACAATATCTTATACTTACTTTAATTGTAATAAAGTGTAAAAATGTACAACTGTGTATCTAAAATAGTCAGTTAGTGTGCCTTTTGCCATGAGTATTTTTTATATAAAAACAACAGATAAATTAAGAAATGTTTAAAAAAAAAAAAAGCAAAACAATTTAGTTCTATCTAAAAGGTAATACAAAAGCTGACCTACGATTAGCTTATAGCAAAACAGGCTAAATTTTGCCAAAGAAAATTCCAATATTGTGAGTCACATCTACCTGTAGATTAATTACAGTTAATCAAGATAAATAACAATGAACATTTTTAAATGTAACAAAAACTTCCCCCCTCTATATTACTCAAAAAGTATTTATATTTATAATATGTATTATTTAAAATATTTACAGGAAACTCATAGACGCTTTACAGATGCAGGTAGAAAAAAGGAAAATATTCAGAATTTATTCAAATCATATTCAATATATAAACAAGTGAATGAAGTAGATTCAGTACAATGAAAGTGTGAAGAGACATTCAGGTTACCATGCACTTCTCCCTGCTGCTGTTGCTGTACGTCTTCAGCTGTGTGTATTTGCTCAGAGACACGCGCCACCAGGGTCACGGTCCACTGCAGGCCAATGCCTGGATTAGAGCCTGGCACCAGGATTAGGGGCCCCTGTTAACAACCACAATAACGCACCCATCACACACACACACACACACACACACACACAGACGCACACAGACACATGCATTACTACATCAACGTGTGGAGAGACTTTGGGGAGTCCTCGTATCTCTGTGGGAGGTTGACCATCAGTCTCCACCTGAAAGGCCGTACAGAGGCTCAGTGCATTACAAAGGCATGTTGAGCTATGATTAGAGCAGGACTACGGCCTGTTTTATTTGTCTGTTGTCTAAGTCCCTGTATGCTAGCATGAGAAAATTGGATTACGTTGATGAAAGAATGTTTAACTTTCATACAGTAAGTTGCTGCTAGAAAAAATAACCACACACACACACAATACATACATAATCGATTTTTTATGTCACATAAAGGACATATGAGTTAGATTTTTTTTTTTAATATGTTAATAATAATGAATTAACAAATAATTGCAGTTTTAATTGGGATAGTTTTTAGTTGCACATTTAAAACAAAGTTTTGTTAAAAAAATGTTTTAGTCGGTTGCATTGCTACTATTTGTTATAGCAACAGTAAAAGAAAAAATATCACATTGAGATAATGAAGTTAAGAATTGGTAGCAGCTCCAGTCAGTCAGCTGAAGCTGCGCTTGTTTGCATCCTTTCCAAGTAACTGAAACTCTGAGAAGCTAAAACAGATGGCTTTTTGATTTCTTCTTTTTTTTTCTTTTCTTCTTGTTAATTGACTGATTACTCACTGTCATGTAGATTCACACAATTTATTTAAATTTTCATCTTCTTCTAATTTAAAAATGGTTCTACTTTTGTTTTGGGCTGCAGTGATGCCGTTTCAGTGAGGGAAAAAAAACTAACCAGATTTTTCTTTTTAGCCCCATTAAGTGATAATTTTAGCACTGAGGAAGTTTTGCCAGGGTTTCACAAGTCTCTAACACGGCATCGGTTATATTTGGATGACTCAATTGGTACAATTTAATTTGAAGTTGTCACGGGGGGGGGATTATTTTTGCAGCGGCCAGTGGGATGCTGGCATTGAAGGAATAGCAACAAGCAAGAAATATTTTGCAGTCAGTCGACAAAACGAGAGTAAACACGAGCCAACCAACCGACCAACTGTGATCAAGCGTAAAGTATAAAACCCACAGTGAGCCTTTTAACGAATATGACTATGAAGCATTATTATTAAGCATTATGATCACTATTTTATGCGACATAACCACGAAATGCCATGGGTTGAGGACATCGTAAACTGAGAGCAATAACAAAATTCAATTCCCGTCGTTGCACGGTTTTTGGTCTTCAAGAAACTGCAGTCGCGATCACGTCTCGAGTCGGCCTGTAATTCCTTTGACAAAAATCTCAACAACCATGGCAACCAATTAGATTATGGTAGTAGTCCGATTATTTCTGACGTTGGTCTGTCCCAGACAAACCTAAGGTCATTTCCAGGACTTGTGACTGACAAGATAAGCACATTTTTGGATATCAGCTCCATAATTATATGAGCAGCAGTCATTTCTTTTTCTGGCACTCAAGTGTCAAGTTTGATTTATATCCCCTGGTGGTTAAAAAAAAAAAATCACTTTTCTCTTTTCCACTTCAGCTGGTGACAGCTACACATCTCTGAGTTTCAAGGGTGCAGTGATGGATGGAGTGATGAGGGAGCAATGGAGAGGAATAAGAAATAGGA